TTATGTATTTAAAAAATAAAAACAGATCTTAAAACATCATCATCATCAACAACAACAACAACATCTGTGATGAATAATCTAATTTATTTATATTTATTTATTTTTTTAAACCGTCCATCTAGAAATCACATACCAAAGATAGCAATAAAAAGAATGTCGAATATTATTAACATCCTGTGCATTACAAAATAGTCTGATGTATTGGAACACGAATGAACAATGTGTTTATTTCATGGTTGTGTCAATGTTCGGAAGCTTCATGTTAATACATTTCCTGTACTATCATTAGAAGGTGTCCTAACTGCATTAAATTCTTTCAATTCGATCGTGCTTTAGTACATTAGTATACCCCACCTTTTCCCCTCGCCATTCTATTAAAAAAACAACACTCTATCCGCCATATTTGCTACCTCACTCCTTGTTTGTCTACGATGAACAAAGTTCCTACCGTGTGTATGTTTATTTGTTTATAATTTTTTTTTTAATTTATTGAACTAAAAGATACCCCATTGTTTCTTTACATTATTTTATATAGAATATATACCTTACCAATGCATTTAGTTTGTATATAGTTGTAATTTTACCAGCGCACACCGTGTAATAATATTTTTTTAAAAATTATGTACTTATTATATATACATATGTATTATTATTATATACATATAAAAAAAATCTTGTCTATTTGCCAAAACAATGTTGTNATATTTCTATATATTTTTAATATTGATTATATTGATATATAAATTATATAATTCATATATCTTTACATAATTTGTAAATATGAACAGCCATAAATCCTTCAAAATTATTAAATGTTTACGAATAATAGAATCGGTCGTAGAATAATAATCTTTTTAAAATAATTTTTTTTAATTAAATGTTTTAAATTTAATACAATGCTAATGTAAATTTTAATGCGTATATTCGATCATCATAGAATTTACATGAAACGAAAAAAATGAGTAAAAAAACATTAAATCTATTTTAGTTATGTTTCAAGAAAAAATTAATAGAAATAACGCTTCTGAGAAGGGAACTTTTTTTTATTTTTTTATTGTTTTGATAAAATACATCAAACTTCTGTAGTAAATCTATTTTTTTAATAGAAATGAATTTTAGCGTTAATCTATAAATTCTGAAACGAATCAAATTTGATCTTTTGTTAAATATATAGGCCTATATATTTTTCTAATTAAAATTAGATTTTTTTGATAAATATAATACAACTAGTTTTCTGTTTATCAAATGTATAAGAAATCATTGATAAATTCAATTTTAATTAATTTATTTTAGAATTTAAATAGGAGAATGTTTAAATTAATAGAAAATATTACTGATCAATTTTATATGCCATTTTTAATAAATTTTATTTGATAAAGATTTGATGATAAAAAGCTAACTTTCAATAAAAATGATTAATTAGAATCTGAATTAAAATTTTATTTTTAACTAAATGTATCTAAATTAAATACAGGAATATCCTATAGAATGTTTTAATACTCAAGCTTCGTAGAACGTAGGTATCTCTCAATACAACTTTTTCGATCGATGTTTATATTGGAAAAATTTACATTTACATGAATATAAATGGTGTATATATTAAGTCTCGAATTATATTCCAAATACAATTGGTCAATGTCAAATACAACGTCAGAATCACGAGACAAATAAACCGAAGGCCAACAAAGAGGGTGTATATCTCAGATGTTGCTGGGCTATCAGAGGCATCATATACCAATACCTTCTATAACAAAGTCTAAACACAATTTCGTTACGTCACTCTCGTCAATCAATTCTATAATTTATAGAATATTTAGGGACATTGTTGAGAATGATTTACAATTTATTCCTTATGTTAGAAAAGAATTGGACAAAACTTATCTCTTTATTGTTGTGTGTTATTTGCATTCCTTATCTCAAACGCATTATTTGCGATACGGTAAGTAGACTTTACATAATACTGCATACAAACAGTTGTTTGTTAACAATTTTTATTCATCATCGTAAAAATCATGTTATAAAAGAGATGATCTGTTCCAATCTCGTGCCAAATTAACCCCCACAAAAAGTAATTAACAAATTTATCTTAAATTTGGAAACATATTCTAATAAAAAATTTTAAATGATGTCTGATTAAATTATGATGAAGTTTCAAATATTTTTATCTTACCAATTATCTAATTAAGAGGATTATATTTTATGTCTTATTAAGTTCTTTCATATTTAATACAACTACGGATTCTTATATGTTGCTTCTCTGTCTAAATTTTAAAACAAAAACACATTATTGATGAAGGATTAATATGTACTTTATCGCGAATTTTATATAAAAAAAGCAAAGCAAACAAAATTTCTGTATTCTCGAGTTATACTCGAGCTATAGATTTCGGATTAAAGAATATTCTTTGAACTAATTAAATATTCACAAAGCATAATGTAACTTTATTTATTACTAGTTGTTACTCGCGGCTTTGCCCGTGCGGATTTTGCAAGCAAACCCCATTTATATTCAGTATTTCAACAATCATAGTAATTGTTATATAACACCTACCGCTGAGAATGATGAGAATTGCCGAGAATCAAACAAACTATTTTCAATTTGATCAATTTTCTGAGACGTTTACAATCGTTCTATAACAATTGTATAACGATTGTGAACCAACCAATATGCAATAACAAATTTGAATTTAAAACGGTTCGAACATTTTTACAATCGAAATAGATAAAAATATTTATAACGATCTCTGAAATGTTATTAATTTAATACACCTAAGTACTCGATGAAGACTAAATCCTCTCCCTCTCCCCCGAGGGGGAATTTCGAAAAATCCCTTGCCATGGCATACCCTAGTAAAACGCAGATAAAAACAAAAAATCGCTTCTAAAATAATACAGTAGAAGCCATTCTTCCGGTTAAGCCTTAATGCTCTCCCTCTCCCCCCGCGGGAGAATTTCGAAAAATCCCTTCTTAGTGTGCGTTTCCATGACGTACTCTAACCTCTTCACCTCTTTAGGTTAAGCGATCTGCTCTGGGCAATGATGAATCAGTGAGTGAGTGAGTGAGTGAGTCATTCAGTCAGTCAGGACAAGCAATTTTATATATTTAGATTTAATAATATGAAAAATACACGATCGACCTCCCGTAAGAAAATAATACTTGTAATTTTATTATTTGTTTATATTTCATTTTACAAATACTTTCTCGTACTTTTTTTATTTATCTAAAATAACATTACATGTTCTTCTAAAACACTGTTACTTGCGTGACAGTGAAATAGGACATTAAATACTGAGTAAAACAGATATAAACTCTCAATCCTCGACTTCGTAAGGAAAAATAACAATGCTTTTAGCCACACTTTTAATTTATATTCTAAAATTTATAATAATCAATAATTGTGAAGAATTTAGGCATTCTTTCGGTTTAAATATTAGAAATTATATTATATGTAACAAGAATTCTAAGATTATTTCCCAATGAAAAGGAGCTCATTTATAAAATAGTTAATATAGATAAATATATATTTACTTGATTGAATGTATATTTTTAACTTCAGTTATAACAAAAAATTGTTTTCAAGATACTTTCAGATCATTATATATTTCAATAGAAAATGAATTCTTTTTAAGCGTTAAAAATTCTTCATGTGTTTAGATTTTTCATTAATTAATAATTTTAAATTAGTATAAGTAATTCATAAAAATTTGTTTTATAATATTAGTTTTTTTTAATTGTAAAAATTAACAAAATATTAAGAAATTTAATTTCGAATTAAATTATACTTAATAAGAATGAATTCAGTATTTGTTTATAATATATTTAAATTATTAATAATGCACGAACTTTAAAAATTGATTTAGTGTTTCATAACTAAAGCTAATAAAATTTGAAAGCAAATTTACTAGAAAGCATTTAATTATGAACATTTTTTAAATTTTGCATGAAGTTCTTTCGCAAAGTAGGGAAAAAAATAAATTAAAAAAAATGGAAAAAACTGAAGAACAAACAGAAAAAAAATCCTTTATGTACATGCCGCAAAAAATCCTTTATTGAAAAACATTTAAAATACATCATGTGATTGATAGTGATCGTGTAAAAAAAGGGCTGTCCAACTTCAAACTTTTGCGGAGCCACAAAACATTTTAAACAATCCATTCACGGCTACCTTACGAAGATCAAAACACATCTGTTTCTTTTAAAATACATTTTCTTCTTTTACTTAATGAAGATATAAATCAATAAATACATGAATAAAGTTTCAAATTTTTTCAATTTAATATGCTTTACAGGTCCAAAAGAGTAAAATTCCTTAAAAATTACTACTAATAAAACAGAAAACATATATTACAAAGTTTTAAAACGTTAACATTTTATAAATAATGTTCTCACTTTCAAAAATATAAAAGCGTATATATCATGGCTGGCCAAACCTTCTCACGACATGAACCATATATCGAGAGCTGCACCTCTATTGAAATTGTTTTTATATAATGGATATTTATTCACATATATTTAATTAAATAATTAAGTATACGAGAGGCCGTAGTAAGGATCTAGAAGAGCTGCAGTTTGGTTACCATGAGTATATACAGTGTATAAATGTATTGATTTTGTACTTAAAATAAAAAAAAAACAATTCATTTTTCTTTCAAAATATTCTAATTTTACACAAAATTAAATTCGAAACCTTATGCAGCCCGCGGGCCGCGAGTTGGACAGCTCCTGTATAATCAAATCAATCGACTAATTTACTAAAATGTAATATAAACTAATTCTACAGTTTAATTAAAGTGACTAGATCGATGATAAATCCAAATTTAAAAAAAAATAATCCAGAATCTAATTAGTTTAACAATATTTGCAACTCAACTAAATACTACAGATATTTTGGCAAACTAAGATACTTCTATTCATTAATAATAATGATTACAATAAACAGAATAAGATCGAAAGTTGCTACGATACGGTTTTATAAACTAAAAGACAACAATTCACTCACTATAGCATGATTTTTTGTGATTAGGGCCATCTAACCTCATACATCGAGTGCTGCAATATGCTATGCTGTTACAATCTAGGCATTTTATTCGCGCTGGTTTATCACAGTCGGAGGAACCACACATACCAAGTGGCCCAACTGAAAAAAAATATTAATTTAAATGTTTTAAAATAATAAGATAATCATAATTAATTTTACTATTAAAATCCTGACTTACCATAAGGTGGGGGTTTTCTTTTCGAATCTGTTCTTCTAACTTAAAAATTATGAAAAAAATTTTTTAGTATAACAAATACAAATATCATTTTAAAATATTAAAATTGTCTATTTAAATTCAGTAAATTTTAATATTAAATTCAATTAAACTACATACCTGATGGTTTTTTGGGCTTATTATCATAATTATTGTGATTATTTAAATTGTTATGATCTGAATAACTGTTATAGGATGGTTCTTCTGAAAAGAAAAATAAAAAGTCGTCATAAATTAAATAATATAATAGTAAAATTAAAATAAATCGATACGGCATGTTAAAATTTTCCATCTACTTTATAAAAATTTAAAAATCAAAAAATAAATTAACGAAAATAATTACTTATTTAAAGAATTGCAAATTATATTATTCGAAAAGCACTTTTTAATTAATTTAATAACTTATTTGGCATCATAATACGTAAAGTATTAATTTAATTCAACGCATTATTAAAATTTGTAAATAATCACATAAATTCCAATAAAATAGTTATTAAAAATTTGTCAAGAATAAATATAATAATTATTACCTTTAACTAACTTAATATTAATTCCTTGAGATGGATATACACGATGTGCATATAAAGAACCTTCTTGATATGTGATGTCTTGAAAATCTTCAGTGACAAAATTATAATCTTTTCCAATAACTTCTGTAATGACTGGTTCGGCATTTTCAATTTTTTCTCTCAAATCCCTTAATGTCGTTTCATTATCGTCTTTTATTTTGATAAATCCGATGCATTCTCTAGAACCGTATTCGTCGGTTACCATGTAAACGTAATATTTTCTATCGGGTTTTGGTTGGATTTCTACAAAAGATCGAATTAAGTATTTATGGATAATTAATTTAAAATTTGCAAACGAAAACAATACACACTGGGAGGAATAATAGGAGTAGGATTGACGACTGGTGTAGGTGGTGGTCTTACTGATTCTTCAACGTCGTCAATGGGACTTATTGCTCCGGGTAAATAGTCAGCATCGTTCATAGCACTGAAATTTTCCATTTATAGAATTTTATTAATTTTTTAAATAATTATTTCGAACATTATATATTTAAATTACTAGCGAAATTAATTTTAAATCTTTTCAACTTTAATATTAGTTCGGCCTATAAATTAGTCATCGTCCAAAACTTACTAGAAAATTTCTAATTGTATTGAGCAAATTTAAATATTTTTATTCTTATATTAAAACAGAACATTTTAAAATATTTATTTATGTGTAGAACCAATTTATCAAACAGTATTTTCAATTTTATTATAAAAATATTTAAAAATTGCATTTATTTTATCTTAAGCTCAATTGCATATATAAAATTTAATATAACTTGTTTTGACAAAGAGAAAATAAACTTTCAAACTGTATTCTAAGTGAGTACGACAAACCAACTATTTCATTATGAGATTATTACATACCACAATTTATATTATATTGAAAATTCAGAATTAACAGAATGTCTTATTAAATAATTTTGCGAGATGAATTCTATTCACATATACAATACATAAAATTGTTTTTGCAGATTTTTATAAATGGTATATTAAGTATTGGATGAGTTATGTAACATTTATTCTTTTAGTATTACTAGTTTTCGTGAAAAGCTGAAAATATTGATTCTGCTGACGTTGAGTTTGAGAAATATTTTAAAATTCAATGGTCTAAGTTTATTTCAATAAAACCACAATAATGAGATGATGCGGGCTATAAAAACTTTTGGCGTCTTAACAAATAACGTAATAACATTAATTATTATAACATATGCTAGAATAATAAATTGTCAAATAAATTACGGAAAAATTATATTAAATTTTTTATTAAAATAATAAATACTCTGTACATAACTCGGACAACGATAATAAAAGAACACGTATTTAACGTTTCATTTAAATAACTTACTTTCTACTACTAGCAGAATATGTTCTGCTAGGAGGCTTCCATACATCCTCGACTTCATTCTGCCTCTGCTCGTCGTAAGCAAATTCCTTTTCTTCTTCTTCCTCGTGTTGAGGAAATTGTCTAGCCGAATGTGGGGCACTACCGTATCTGGATTCGTAAGGCGGATTATCTCTTTGATTGCAACAGCAATCTAGGGTACCACATGTACAACGTGGATCACGGGAAGAGTTTCTCCCACTGATTGGTGTCGAGTATCTGTCCGCCTCGTCCTCCAGCCTTCTCTTCTCGTCCTCTACGGTAAACACCGAATGATCGAGCAGGGCAGCCTTCTCGTTTCCCGACAGATTAGCAGCTTTTTCATTATACATCCTATCGGGTTCTCCATCGAAATTCTTTTCCATCATATGAATACTAGAATTTCCTATAAAAATTGAACATCGTATCATCCCACACAAAAATAATATCTGTTTTTCGTTTTAATTTAATTCTAAGGACTATTTCTGACTTTAAAATGTGTAAATAAATTTTTTAATTTGAAACATTTCAAAATACAATTGTTTCATTAAATATAGTACTTTAATACTCCAATTTTTAAAATGTATAATAAAAATATGATTAAATATATTTATACATTTAAAATAAATTATAATTTCTTATGAAAATAATTATTCAAAATCTTGACTGTGTTTTGCGTACGCCATTGTAGAAGCTTCGATTATTGATTATCGATAAACATCATTTGGAGCACGTATCGATTTATTGTAAAAGGTAATAAACTGACTTCGTTGGTTGTAATTTTACAGCGTAACTTTGCAAGTTTTTAATTTTATAATTATAAAAATAATTTAAAATGTATAGACATTTCTTAACTAGAATTAAGAAAATTCACTTAAAATTTTTACATTTTAAATAGTTATAGTTGCTGATTATTATAAAATCATATATTTTATTTTACAATGGCATACTTTTAACACAGCAAGATTAAATACTAAAATAGTATATTAAAATCAATATTAATGTTATGTAATTGATATTTTTGATAAATTTAAAAAATATTATTATATGTATATACATATATTAAAGTATCTAAAAATATCAAGTTACGCTGTAAAGATGAGGTTACACATAGAAAGCAAATATATATTAACTCTTACCTCGACAACACTTTGAAGTCAGTTTCAATTAATGTGAGGGAAAAAAAATGTTTTAAATATGGGTTAAAAGGAACTTTTAAAAAATTATAAAAAAGCTTCTACAAGGTTGTAAACAAAATTTATGCATTTTTGAAAATACATTTTATTTTTATGCAGAAGTTATGTAAATTTTCGAAAATATTTATTATAACACACGATTCTGAGAAGATTCTTGAAAAATTTATTTACATTCACGATTCTGCAAGTAGACTATATTTATTCGAACTCTTTAATTGAAAAAAATATTATATTAAATTAAAAAAATAAGTATCTATAATATAACACAGACTAATTTAATTCGAAATATTTTGCTTAAATTAATTTATTTTAAATTATCTACAAACAATTGATATGGCTAATATACATAAATTTATCTACAATTTTTTTTTATTAATTTCTTTTTCTACAATATCTTTAATCTTAAAATTTCAAATTCTCTTGTCTTTCTTCCATTTAAGTGAAATTCTAACCTGATAATAATCGATCGCTTCCTTCTTGCCTAGCTTTGCAATGAGTGTGCAAACCTGTAAATATTTGGAATACAAATTCGATGATTAAACTTGTTATGAATACGTTGGTATGTGCAGGACATTACTTCTGGTGATTTCACAAACGGACAATTCAAACATTTAATATACAAAAAGACTTCATTGATATTTGTACAAAAACACATCTCCACTGATATTTTATTTTGAACATAAACTACAAAGTTGGGACATTTATTTATTACTGTTTTGTGGATTCAAGCGTGAGCTTCTTACAAGGGGAAAAATTACAATATTAAAATGCATATTACAACATAATCATTATTATTTAACATAAATGTTATAAGGAGTGAAAAAACACTATATTCAAAATATCACTTCTAAATATCACTTTTGGTAGCTGTTATTATGATCTATGTATGTATATCTCTTTAATCCGACATTAACTTCGGTAGACTATCATTACAGCTTTCAGGTTAGACACTTATTGTTTCCACATATGCATTTCGGACTTATATAAATGTTAAGTCCCTCTTCAGTGCAATACTGCAAATTATTAAAAAACACAATTGACAAACATGACAAAATTGTGTTTTTTAATAATTTGTAGTATTGCACTGAAGAGGGACTTAACATTTATATAAGTCCGAAATGCATATGTGAAAACAATAAAAGAAGTGTCTAACCTGAAAGCTGTAATAATAGTCTACCGAACTTAATGTCGGATTAGAAACATACATACATAGAACAAAATATCACTGTTTTAAATAAATCATATATTAAAAATTCTCTGGTGATACTTTCATCCCGTAAATGTTACTTTAAGTTATATAAACTAGGACAAGATGTAAACAAATGGATTAGCACAGATTCAGTTTTGTTACTACAATATGGGCTTATTAATTATTTCTGAATACGGCGAGGAAAGTTCACTTGAACTAGAGCTTACCATCCTAAGATAAACTCAATGATAAAAGACTAGTACACAATGCGGTGACAATAATAATTTCTCGGGAGAAATATAACGACCTATGAACATAATACAGAATTTCTTCAATCGCAATTGAATCATTAACAATTTAATAATTTAATAGTTTATGAAGAAATCAAAAACTTGTTTTAAAATTATAATATTCTAAAATGCTTTACTTATATTTTTTCAAAAATTTTTAATGCACTGTTTTATTTTTTTTCTTTTTTTAAAGATATATAAAATCTTCGCCAAACCATGAACTAGATCAAAACGACTTATTTTATAATTAGTTACCAAATTGCATATCTGAGAAGAAGTCAGAATTATGTCAATTAAATCCTAATGTAATAATTTGACATTACTTTCTTGACAGGACTTTTCTATTGAATTAGCGCCATTTCAACATGGAAACTTTAAAAAACAAGTTTATAAGTTAATCTTTCAGTTTTTAAAATTAACACTGTGTCCTAATTTCTATTTGGATAAAAAATGAAATTATTAAAATTAGATAATTTTATAGTTGTCCAAATAGAATATAATAGGAAAGTGTTTAGAAATATCGTAGTAATTTTAGATTATTACAGATATCGTAATAATTTTATACTATTTACATAAATTTCAAATTTTTATGGATTATTAGAAAAATTAGAAGATATAACAACGGAATTCTTTTGATATTGATTTACGCTGTTTGGTTATTCTATTCAATAATGCTCGAATTGGATCAGAGTTAAATACGGTTAATCAAGAGTGTTATAGACAATGTTATAATGGTAACATCATAAATCAAAAGAGGGGAAAAAGTTTGTTGACTTCACGAAAATCTTTAATCTACGACTATATATTGCGAATGGTCCGGCTAACATTACATTTTTGACATGGAGATTTTGTCACTGACTTGATATTAGATCTACTAAGCGAAAACTTGGTAACTTTTTCTGGTAAATTTTTTCGTTCTGAAATAGTAGGAATCTGATAATTTTCACAGAAGTCATTCCTGAGAAATTTTCCTTTTGATTTATAATCTTATCATTAGAAAATCGAATATTAAGAACATCCTTTCTATGGTAAAGTGACCTAACTCTTTTCCAGTTTGAACATTAGAATCACCCGTTAACTTAAGATTATATAAAAAAGAGAATTTTGTTATAATATCCTCTAATTCTTCTAATAATCCATAAAAATTTGAAATATGTAAATACTATAAAATTACTGGATATGCTTGAACTCTAAACACTTTCGGAAAATATTCTATTTGGACGACTATAAAATTATCTGCTCATCTTAATAATTTTACTTCGTCCAGTTCTTCATTAACAATTAGTAAAAGATTCCCAGAAGGTCTTCCAGGATCAAAATGTGTAGTAGCTTATCGTTCAAATACATTCATTCTAGGATTGATACATTTAATTTGTAAATTGGCTGATATACCCTTAAGCTCGTAATTTTGAACTTTGATTGAATGTGATTTCGTTGATTTGTATGCAACGAAATCACATTTCATATTTAACTTTAACATCTTTGCTGTCGAAATAATCTTATTTTGTTTTTTAGCATAGCTAAAAACAATTCGAGTGCTACTTTCCTCAAATATTTATCTTTAGTTTCTAATCCTCATATAACTTTACTTTCAGTTATTATATACAGCATTTATAATGTATATATAATACATTATATAATGTAAATATAAAGCATTCTTACTCTAACGTTTAACCTTAAAATTAAATAATTCATCGAGGCATATTTCCGTTCGACTCAGACGTTCATCCTTATGTAAATTAGTCGACCAGCTGCCCTTTAAAACTGCTATATTTGAAGTTGAAATTATCTTATTAAATCTTTCTACGAAATATGAAAGTATCTTTTTCGGAATTTGCTTATAAAAATTCGGAAACGATAAAAATAAGCTCCACGTTCGCAGTTTTATAAGTCAGTCCAGGAATCTTCATCACTTTCACAGTCAAAGACTGAACATTAGAATTGGGAAAGATACGCAATGTAGGATGATGACTTTTTTCTATTCCCCTTAAAAGTAATAAATTTCATATTGTAGCTTGGAAAAAAAATATTTCTCATATTATCTATCCACTAAATTCATTCAGATTTAGTAAAAAAGTCACCAACAAAAATCTTTAATGCAAGAGTTCCCATTATTTATTTTAAAAAATATTATTAGACATTTCAAAACTATCTTTCATATATTACTTTAACATAATTACAAAAAATATAACTAGTTAACACACAACATAAAAATCATACATATATTTATATACAGAAAATATTCATTTTTAATCACATATACATTTTTATAACTGTATTTATGAATATAGAGTGTATATTCACAAAGTAGAATAAATTTTAATCTTTGATATTTAACAGACAAACATTGAAACTGTTTACATGTGCAATTTTAAAAATAAAATATAGAAAATGAAATGAAGTTTTAGTTACAAATAACATTAATTTATTAATTATGAATAAGTTAATTATAAATATTTATTTTTACTAAATAAATGAATAAGTTTTATCATTTTATCTTAAAAATAATTATAAGTTTACATAATTCACTTGGAAATTAAAATAGTATATGAAATAAACTTACTTTGTTTACTTTTACAGTAGCAGTAAATTACAAAACCAATGAATAATAAAACCAAAATTCCATTAATGACAATGGCTGCAATCCAAGCTGTTGGCGTTCCTTCCTCCTTTTTTTCTTCCTTGTTAACGTCATCAGTTTTGTTAGGTTCTTGTGTCGCTGTTTCTGAGGTGTCTCTTTTAATTATATTTGACTAAAATACAATGAAATAAAACGTAAACAAAGACCAGTTAAAGAATATTTCATTTGCATAATCTCCGTAAACTTTTATAATTTGGAAAGAAACAACTTTTGTTATGCTTAATTCAAAGTTCTAAATTTAAATTTAAACCAATATTTAATTATAATTAAGTAAAAATATACTTGAGGCATATCCGCATCCACTCTTTGTACGTTCCATTGTTTATTTTTTTCTACATTAAAAGTCTTTTCTTTACTTTTAATGTCTTCGATTACACTTTTTAGACTTGATGGTTCTCCGTTTATTTTTGCTTCTGTTATAACACTTCCTTTAAATCAAATATAATAAATATATTGGTTATATAAAAATATATTAAAATAAAAATTACCGTATATATTATATATTTTCTTTTATGAATATATCGAAAAAAGCTTCTTATAAAATTTATTTATGATTTCATTTCTATTTGTTAAAATTTAAAATATTTTAACTCCATTAGAAGATTATCATCAAATTTCAGTGCAATAAGTAATTTATAATTTGTTTTAACCCTTTTTATGCTAAATGTACCATTGTAATTCGAAAGAATAATCTAAAATATTATAAATACATTTAAAATTCTCACAAAAAAATTTTAATATAAAATTTAAGTCCATCCAAATATTATGATTTTAACCATTTAACCATTAATCATTAAAAAAATTAACAATTACACATTATTATATTATAGCTGCAACTTTTAATTCTGCTTCTTCTTTATGAAAACAAAAATAATTAATTAATTGCGATAAATATATAAAAATAAAACAAAGATGTACAACTTATTTCATATTTTCTAATTATTATAATTATGAGAAGATATTAAATAATTTATTGTAAGTTATAACACCGTTTATATTATTTATTCTAAGCTTATTTAAACAATCATGTAATAAATGTTATTAATATATAAATAATAATGAAATTAACAAAAACAAAAAATATATTGCAATCGTTAGTCGTTGTTTTCTTTATTTGTAAATGTTAGCTTTGTTATTAAAATATATTAAATAGTAATTTTATTAATTGAAAACAATTATTTACTTTAATCTGATAATTTAAAATTACTTTAAAATATTTTAAAAGTTTAACAATCGTAATCGTACCAGCTTTTGAACCAATATATTTCCATCCAACTTTTGGATATTTTCCGAAATAAAAGTTAATAAAACATGACTTATATCGTTCAAGATCATCTTTAATTTGTTGAAAATTTCCATCGTATTTAAATGTTAATTTAGCTTCATCTTTAAATTCAACATTATCCTTAGAATCTCTTACATCGAAAGGACCTTATAGAATTATAAAGAAATTTTACAATTAATATTTTAATCTATTATTTTTTAGAGATAATTATTATATATAATCTAAATTTTAAAAAATTAAAATTTAACAATATTTTTATATATTAAACTGTAAAAAATATACCGATGACGAAAGTCAATGGAGTATCTGGTGAATCTTCTTTGTTGACTGTTATTTTTAAGTGTACATTATAATTAGGTTTTTCAAATTTAATATCTTCAAACAATATCATATTTTCTTTATTAGGAATAGAAATTTTAGTTTCTCCTTTCAAATTTCCTTGATAGCATTCATAATAAAATTCGATAGTAGCGGTCCATTTTGTGTCCTGAAAATACAAGAAATATACATTTTGTTAACTAAATTATATATTATAAAACACCTGCAATTTTAAATTATTAATAAAATTGCATTTACGTATATACCTTTAATAATTCTGAATCTGCATCTTTTTGTTCAGTTTCATCAAAGAGTTTAACTCCGGGAGCAGGTACCAGTTCTTCATCAATTCGCGAATTATGAGGAATAGAAGTCTCACTAAATGGATGTAAGGTTATTTTATGACCTTCGATTTCGATACTTTCTTTACTACTTTCCGCTAATGTTGTTGAATATTGGCTAAAACATTGATAAAATATTAAAATAACGACATTCCTTTTATTAAATTAATAAAAAATAACTATTTTATACCTTTGTCTTCGATATCTTTTAATTGTTTTTGGACAATTTGTAAATCCATCGGGAGAAACGGTATTATTTTCAACCTATACAGATAATTTTAATTAATTATATAACTTACTAAAATCCAACCATTTCTAACTAAGCTATGGAACATGATTCAAAGGAACTGTCGCTGTTGATAACAGATATTATTACATATTACATTCCTATGTCCTTAGGAATTCTAAGATTCTTAAAGAGCATTAAACTTTTAATTATGCTGTAAATATAATTTTAATTAATTANTTAAAATCAATATTAATGTTATGTAATTGATATTTTTGATAAATTTAAAAAATATTATTATATGTATATACATATATTAAAGTATCTAAAAATATCAAGTTACGCTGTAAAGATGAGGTTACACATAGAAAGCAAATATATATTAACTCTTACCTCGACAACACTTTGAAGTCAGTTTCAATTAATGTGAGGGAAAAAAAATGTTTTAAATATGGGTTAAAAGGAACTTTTAAAAAATTATAAAAAAGCTTCTACAAGGTTGTAAACAAAATTTATGCATTTTTGAAAATACATTTTATTTTTATGCAGAAGTTATGTAAATTTTCGAAAATATTTATTATAACACACGATTCTGAGAAGATTCTTGAAAAATTTATTTACATTCACGATTCTGCAAGTAGACTATATTTATTCGAACTCTTTAATTGAAAAAAATATTATATTAAATTAAAAAAATAAGTATCTATAATATAACACAGACTAATTTAATTCGAAATATTTTGCTTAAATTAATTTATTTTAAATTATCTACAAACAATTGATATGGCTAATATACATAAATTTATCTACAATTTTTTTTTATTAATTTCTTTTTCTACAATATCTTTAATCTTAAAATTTCAAATTCTCTTGTCTTTCTTCCATTTAAGTGAAATTCTAACCTGATAATAATCGATCGCTTCCTTCTTGCCTAGCTTTGCAATGAGTGTGCAAACCTGTAAATATTTGGAATACAAATTCGATGATTAAACTTGTTATGAATACGTTGGTATGTGCAGGACATTACTTCTGGTGATTTCACAAACGGACAATTCAAACATTTAATATACAAAAAGACTTCATTGATATTTGTACAAAAACACATCTCCACTGATATTTTATTTTGAACATAAACTACAAAGTTGGGACATTTATTTATTACTGTTTTGTGGATTCAAGCGTGAGCTTCTTACAAGGGGAAAAATTACAATATTAAAATGCATATTACAACATAATCATTATTATTTAACATAAATGTTATAAGGAGTGAAAAAACACTATATTCAAAATATCACTTCTAAATATCACTTTTGGTAGCTGTTATTATGATCTATGTATGTATATCTCTTTAATCCGACATTAACTTCGGTAGACTATCATTACAGCTTTCAGGTTAGACACTTATTGTTTCCACATATGCATTTCGGACTTATATAAATTTTAAGTCCCTCTTCAGTGCAATACTGCAAATTATTAAAAAACACAATTGACAAACATGACAAAATTGTGTTTTTTAATAATTTGTAGTATTGCACTGAAGAGGGACTTAACATTTATATAAGTCCGAAATGCATATGTGAAAACAATAAAAGAAGTGTCTAACCTGAAAGCTGTAATAATAGTCTACCGAACTTAATGTCGGATTAGAAACATACATACATAGAACAAAATATCACTGTTTTAAATAAATCATATATTAAAAATTCTCTGGTGATACTTTCATCCCGTAAATGTTACTTTAAGTTATATAAACTAGGACAAGATGTAAACAAATGGATTAGCACAGATTCAGTTTTGTTACTACAATATGGGCTTATTAATTATTTCTGAATACGGCGAGGAAAGTTCACTTGAACTAGAGCTTACCATCCTAAGATAAACTCAATGATAAAAGACTAGTACACAATGCGGTGACAATAATAATTTCTCGGGAGAAATATAACGACCTATGAACATAATACAGAATTTCTTCAATCGCAATTGAATCATTAACAATTTAATAATTTAATAGTTTATGAAGAAATCAAAAACTTGTTTTAAAATTATAATATTCTAAAATGCTTTACTTATATTTTTTCAAAAATTTTTAATGCACTGTTTTATTTTTTTTCTTTTTTTAAAGATATATAAAATCTTCGCCAAACCATGAACTAGATCAAAACGACTTATTTTATAATTAGTTACCAAATTGCATATCTGAGAAGAAGTCAGAATTATGTCAATTAAATCCTAATGTAATAATTTGACATTACTTTCTTGACAGGACTTTTCTATTGACGTAGCGCCATTTCAACATGGAAACTTTAAAAAACAAGTTTATAAGTTAATCTTTCAGTTTTTAAAATTAACACTGTGTCCTAATTTCTATTTGGATAAAAAATGAAATTATTAAAATTAGATAATTTTATAGTTGTCCAAATAGAATATAATAGGAAAGTGTTTAGAAATATCGTAGTAATTTTAGATTATTACAGATATCGTAATAATTTTATACTATTTACATAAATTTCAAATTTTTATGGATTATTAGAAAAATTAGAAGATATAACAACGGAATTCTTTTGATATTGATTTACGCTGTTTGGTTATTCTATTCAATAATGCTCGAATTGGATCAGAGTTAAATACGGTTAATCAAGAGTGTTATAGACAATGTTATAATGGTAACATCATAAATCAAAAGAGGGGAAAAAGTTTGTTGACTTCACGAAAATCTTTAATCTACGACTATATATTGCGAATGGTCCGGCTAACATTACATTTTTGACATGGAGATTTTGTCACTGACTTGATATTAGATCTACTAAGCGAAAACTTGGTAACTTTTTCTGGTAAATTTTTTCGTTCTGAAATAGTAGGAATCTGATAATTTTCACAGAAGTCATTCCTGAGAAATTTTCCTTTTGATTTATAATCTTATCATTAGAAAATCGAATATTAAGAACATCCTTTCTATGGTAAAGTGACCTAACTCTTTTCCAGTTTGAACATTAGAATCACCCGTTAACTTAAGATTATATAAAAAAGAGAATTTTGTTATAATATCCTCTAATTCTTCTAATAATCCATAAAAATTTGAAATATGTAAATACTATAAAATTACTGGATATGCTTGAACTCTAAACACTTTCGGAAAATATTCTATTTGGACGACTATAAAATTATCTGCTCATCTTAATAATTTTACTTCGTCCAGTTCTTCATTAACAATTAGTAAAAGATTCCCAGAAGGTCTTCCAGGATCAAAATGTGTAGTAGCTTATCGTTCAAATACATTCATTCTAGGATTGATACATTTAATTTGTAAATTGGCTGATATACCCTTAAGCTCGTAATTTTGAACTTTGATTGAATGTGATTTCGTTGATTTGTATGCAACGAAATCACATTTCATATTTAACTTTAACATCTTTGCTGTCGAAATAATCTTATTTTGTTTTTTAGCATAGCTAAAAACAATTCGAGTGCTACTTTCCTCAAATATTTATCTTTAGTTTCTAATCCTCATATAACTTTACTTTCAGTTATTATATACAGCATTTATAATGTATATATAATACATTATATAATGTAAATATAAAGCATTCTTACTCTAACGTTTAACCTTAAAATTAAATAATTCATCGAGGCATATTTCCGTTCGACTCAGACGTTCATCCTTATGTAAATTAGTCGACCAGCTGCCCTTTAAAACTGCTATATTTGAAGTTGAAATTATCTTATTAAATCTTTCTACGAAATATGAAAGTATCTTTTTCGGAATTTGCTTATAAAAATTCGGAAACGATAAAAATAAGCTCCACGTTCGCAGTTTTATAAGTCAGTCCAGGAATCTTCATCACTTTCACAGTCAAAGACTGAACATTAGAATTGGGAAAGATACGCAATGTAGGATGATGACTTTTTTCTATTCCCCTTAAAAGTAATAAATTTCATATTGTAGCTTGGAAAAAAAATATTTCTCATATTATCTATCCACTAAATTCATTCAGATTTAGTAAAAAAGTCACCAACAAAAATCTTTAATGCAAGAGTTCCCATTATTTATTTTAAAAGTAGTACATTAGTACATTATAGGTCTACGTATTTTTTCTCTTCGGTCATTGAACACAAAATATCCTGAAACCTGAATACTGTATACCGAAAATATCCGATACTACGGCAAAATGATATTTTCGAATCCCGCATGTGACAATATTGGTNTTTAAAAAATATTATTAGACATTTCAAAACTATCTTTCATATATTACTTTAACATAATTACAAAAAATATAACTAGTTAACACACAACATAAAAATCATACATATATTTATATACAGAAAATATTCATTTTTAATCACATATACATTTTTATAACTGTATTTATGAATATAGAGTGTATATTCACAAAGTAGAATAAATTTTAATCTTTGATATTTAACAGACAAACATTGAAACTGTTTACATGTGCAATTTTAAAAATAAAATATAGAAAATGAAATGAAGTTTTAGTTACAAATAACATTAATTTATTAATTATGAATAAGTTAATTATAAATATTTATTTTTACTAAATAAATGAATAAGTTTTATCATTTTATCTTAAAAATAATTATAAGTTTACATAATTCACTTGGAAATTAAAATAGTATATGAAATAAACTTACTTTGTTTACTTTTACAGTAGCAGTAAATTACAAAACCAATGAATAATAAAACCAAAATTCCATTAATGACAATGGCTGCAATCCAAGCTGTTGGCGTTCCTTCCTCCTTTTTTTCTTCCTTGTTAACGTCATCAGTTTTGTTAGGTTCTTGTGTCGCTGTTTCTGAGGTGTCTCTTTTAATTATATTTGACTAAAATACAATGAAATAAAACGTAAACAAAGACCAGTTAAAGAATATTTCATTTGCATAATCTCCGTAAACTTTTATAATTTGGAAAGAAACAACTTTTGTTATGCTTAATTCAAAGTTCTAAATTTAAATTTAAACCAATATTTAATTATAATTAAGTAAAAATATACTTGAGGCATATCCGCATCCACTCTTTGTACGTTCCATTGTTTATTTTTTTCTACATTAAAAGTCTTTTCTTTACTTTTAATGTCTTCGATTACACTTTTTAGACTTGATGGTTCTCCGTTTATTTTTGCTTCTGTTATAACACTTCCTTTAAATCAAATATAATAAATATATTGGTTATATAAAAATATATTAAAATAAAAATTACCGTATATATTATATATTTTCTTTTATGAATATATCGAAAAAAGCTTCTTATAAAATTTATTTATGATTTCATTTCTATTTGTTAAAATTTAAAATATTTTAACTCCATTAGAAGATTATCATCAAATTTCAGTGCAATAAGTAATTTATAATTTGTTTTAACCCTTTTTATGCTAAATGTACCATTGTAATTCGAAAGAATAATCTAAAATATTATAAATACATTTAAAATTCTCACAAAAAAATTTTAATATAAAATTTAAGTCCATCCAAATATTATGATTTTAACCATTTAACCATTAATCATTAAAAAAATTAACAATTACACATTATTATATTATAGCTGCAACTTTTAATTCTGCTTCTTCTTTATGAAAACAAAAATAATTAATTAATTGCGATAAATATATAAAAATAAAACAAAGATGTACAACTTATTTCATATTTTCTAATTATTATAATTATGAGAAGATATTAAATAATTTATTGTAAGTTATAACACCGTTTATATTATTTATTCTAAGCTTATTTAAACAATCATGTAATAAATGTTATTAATATATAAATAATAATGAAATTAACAAAAACAAAAAATATATTGCAATCGTTAGTCGTTGTTTTCTTTATTTGTAAATGTTAGCTTTGTTATTAAAATATATTAAATAGTAATTTTATTAATTGAAAACAATTATTTACTTTAATCTGATAATTTAAAATTACTTTAAAATATTTTAAAAGTTTAACAATCGTAATCGTACCAGCTTTTGAACCAATATATTTCCATCCAACTTTTGGATATTTTCCGAAATAAAAGTTAATAAAACATGACTTATATCGTTCAAGATCATCTTTAATTTGTTGAAAATTTCCATCGTATTTAAATGTTAATTTAGCTTCATCTTTAAATTCAACATTATCCTTAGAATCTCTTACATCGAAAGGACCTTATAGAATTATAAAGAAATTTTACAATTAATATTTTAATCTATTATTTTTTAGAGATAATTATTATATATAATCTAAATTTTAAAAAATTAAAATTTAACAATATTTTTATGTATTAAACTGTAAAAAATATACCGATGACGAAAGTCAATGGAGTATCTGGTGAATCTTCTTTGTTGACTGTTATTTTTAAGTGTACATTATAATTAGGTTTTTCAAATTTAATATCTTCAAACAATATCATATTTTCTTTATTAGGAATAGAAATTTTAGTTTCTCCTTTCAAATTTCCTTGATAGCATTCATAATAAAATTCGATAGTAGCGGTCCATTTTGTGTCCTGAAAATACAAGAAATATACATTTTATTAACTAAATTATATATTATAAAAAACCTGCAATTTTAAATTATTAATAAAATTGCATTTACGTATATACCTTTAATAATTCTGAATCTGCATCTTTTTGTTCAGTTTCATCAAAGAGTTTAACTCCGGGAGCAGGTACCAGTTCTTCATCAATTCGCGAATTATGAGGAATAGAAGTCTCACTAAATGGATGTAAGGTTATTTTATGACCTTCGATTTCGATACTTTCTTTACTACTTTCCGCTAATGTTGTTGAATATTGGCTAAAACATTGATAAAATATTAAAATAACGACATTCCTTTTATTAAATTAATAAAAAATAACTATTTTATACCTTTGTCTTCGATATCTTTTAATTGTTTTTGGACAATTTGTAAATCCATCGGGAGAAACGGTATTATTTTCAACCTATACAGATAATTTTAATTAATTATATAACTTACATGACTTCTATACTCCATCTAAAATTCGTATAGTCATAAATTAGAAATATTTACTAGTAAATAATGTAATAAAATCGTACATTTAAAAAGTAAACGGTATTACTAAACCATTTTCCAGTATCGCCAGATTGAAAAACCGAAGTTAAATTTTTTGAAAGTTCTTTCAGATTCAATTCATTTCGTTGTGATCCATAAGAAGTCCATTGGGGAGCCGTGCCAATTTCAACCTAAAAATATATAAACATAACTTCAAACTAAGAAACAAAGACTGAATCGAATGAATGTTATTACATACCACGGAAATGAAATCATAAAGATGTAGATTTAATAAAAAGTAAGAAATTAAAATTAAAAAATAGCTTTTGGAAGCCATTTTCTCTTAAAAATTAAAACGTTTATGGTAGCCATTAATGGCTACATGACTGTTCCGTTTGCAAGCAGAAGCGATATTCTTACGTAGAGAATATATTAAACTTATAGAAAATTGGAAGCCGGTTTATGTAAACAATACTTTATTGAGTAGAATCGATAATATTGCACCATCATCTTACGAAACATTGCTTACGTAAGTAATTGATGCGCATGTTCCATTTGCTTCTTACTTGTTCCATTTCTTATATAACTCTTCTTGTTGCAATTCTATTTTAATAGTTTAAAACTATTAAAATGAACTATCTTTGAATATTTTAAATAATTAAAATAAACTTTTATGTTGGTAAAAATTATCTAAAATTTTCTAAAATTTCTTTTTTTAATGGTTAAAATCCAACACAAAATTAAGTATAGAATATATTAATTATATTTGATGGAAAGATTTAATAAACAAGAATTTAGTATAAAACTGAGAAAAAAATGGAATTTAAGCCATATTTCTCAGTTTTATACCCGAGAAAACACGGATTACATTCTTATATTTTACACCACAAAATCGTTTTTACTCATGGTTACAGTCTTTAAAACTAATTCGAAAATCAAATTTTGTCTATTAATGTTTTAAATTTTGTCAAAAAAATCAATCATTGTGAAGGACTCATTTCAAATTACACCCCATAAAAATGAAAAAATAAGCTTCAATCTATTCATATACGAGAAATAATATTGATTTACATAAAATATTATAGTAATTATTTTCCTCGTAAAAATTTAATTTATGCAAATTAATATAGTTTACATACCAAACATTGAAAATGATGGAAAATTGCTTTTACATAAATTGCTATGTAAGAATCATAATTATTATTATTTATGTCGATAAAAGAATGTCATTTCACAGGGATTTTCATTACATTGTGAGAGTGATTTTGACTAAATCGTAGTAAATGACAGAAAACTTTGAGGTAAATATAGTACTAAAATATTAGATTTTTGACTCGGTAGAAATCGAGTATAAAAATAAAAAGTTATTTTCTTTAACATCACATCTAGGAAAACTTATTTTCTGAAAATTTATTTGAACCATCTCCAACTTAGATAACAAAATGAAAATTGGTTATTGAAAGAGAGTAAGGTGAATTCAATGTTGAAAATAATAAAATGTTTTAGATTATAGGAGAGAAATTGAATTAGCAACAACTGATTTTCATTAATTATAATAAATTACAAAAATTCATTAAAGAGAATCTTCATTTTCAAAAATTCTCTACATAAAATCATTTAGAACATTTTAAACTCCAAAATTTTTACTTATCTCTTGCAAGTGCACTTCCTCACCTATCTTAAAAGCATCTACTAATTATCATTATTTTACTAACCATTTTTCATTTTATTATCTAAATTGGAAGGGGTTCAAATAAATTTTTGAAAATAAAAAAAATCTCCATAGACACGATGTTAATGAAAATAACTATTTTTTTACTCGATTTTCAAAGTCAAAAATTCTAATATCTTAGTACTATATGCACTTCACTCCTTTATCACAGTTTAGCCAAAATCACTCTCACAATGTTATAAACATTATAAAAATCCTTATGAAATGATGATGTCCTTTAACTGTAAAACTTGATGAATTACGATCTACTGGATAATGTTTAAAATTAATGTTACATAAAATTTCAAGTCATATTGTTTAAAATCTACAAATGAAATTTATTAAACACTAAATTTTTAGGACAAAACCTGTTTAGTGTATAAATCCTTACGTATATAAGGATTGTTTGCACTAAATTAAAGAGCAAATGCCAATATAAATATATTCGATTATTTTAAAAGCATTAACTAAACCGTTCTATTAAATTTTACGGTTTGAATATAAAGTTTAAACATAAATTACAGATGGAAATTAATCTAAAATAAATTTTGTGGAGGTGTAAATATATCAAAACTTTTATATGATTTTTCTATTATTTCAATATAGAATTAAACTTTCCATATAAATCATATTGTGCTTTAATTTCTTTTTTTCAGAAACTTATAAAAATACGACATAATTATATAAATCATCGTAGACTTCATTTCTTACTAATTAAACACACTCAAGAAAACTTTTTAAATATGCAGCCGTATTTATTACATTCTAACGTTTTCGGCCATATTCAATGGCCTTTTTCAAGAATAAACGGAAAAAAGAAAATATCGAACTCCTAACTCTAAAATTTGAATTAACGATACAAGCGTTTTGGAACGTTTTTAAAAGGATATTCTACGGGAATAAAGAGCGCCATCTCTACATAAAGGCTGTCATTATGTAACCACAGTAGCTATTACAACGTTAAAAAGTATGACATTCAAGATATAAAATAACATAAAAATAAAAAATACAAACATACATAAAATACCAAACATAAACAATGTGACGCGCAAATACATTAATTTAAGAGTCCGTAAGTTGCTGCTTTGCCATCGTTCTTGCCGCTTATAATATACTTGCTCGCCAGGCTGCCGATACTTTGCTTGATTCGGAAGTTGATAGCTAATCCTTTTTGGCTGGTTTTACAGATATGCCAGGCTTCAGCATACCGGAGGTGCTTTTTGTATCAATCTAGCTCGGTCCCATTCAGCTTTGACCTCTTGAGGGTCAGCTAAGACGTAAGTCGCCAGCGCTGTGCACGGCTGTCCGCTTCTTATGTTTCTCTGGTGTTCTGACAGCCTTTCTTTGAGGGATCTTCGGGTAGCTCCGATGTAGAACATCATATTCTGCCTCTGCGTATCTGTACAGGGATACTGTAGACTCCTGGAAGGGCAGACAAAGATGCCGTGGACATCTCTGTCTGCCCTTAGCAATTGATAAATAGTAGGATTCCTTTTGTAAATTATTCTTTTCTTCGTAGCGGCTCCTATTCACCTATAAATGCTGCTCAGCGAGGCCTTATATTCCATCATTGTGAACTCTTCTGTATTTTGTAAATTTCGCACTTTGCCACGTGTCTTAATTTGGCTAGTAATAGCTTTAATATCTACCCCATACCTCTTAGCTAGTTTATTGATGTAACACAGCTCTTCGTTTCTGTCTTGGGTACTGCTGCAGTGTGAGTAAGCTCGTGCGATGAGCGCCCGGAATGCAGCTAGTTTATATGTTGACGGGTCGTGCGAATTCCATGGGATAAATATCGGATTGTACGCAGATTCTCTATAGACTTTAGTGAGAAAAATCCCCTTTGCTGTCAAGTTGTATAAATAAATCCAGAAAGTGTATGAGCGTATCACTTTCTTGCTCAATTACAATCTCGAGACCGAACTTGTTGTCATTAATGCCCTTTAAGAATTGTTAAGTTGGGTTAAAAAAGTTACAAAAGTTTATAAAAGTTAAAAAAGAAGGTACATAGCGAAACTCGGTTTTGCTAAGTACCTTCTTTTTTAACTTTTATAAACTTCAAAGGAAAGGTATCACGTAGAGACAAAACAGAAAATCTTTAAAAATACGACGCTAAAACCTTAGCGTGATCTATTTCACCCCAAATTACCCTAATGTAGGGTAAGTTGGGGTGACTCATAAATCGATAAGTAAATGGAAAAATAGTAAATCGATGATTTACTATTTTTTCAAAGCAATTTTTAACGTGAATTATCTTAAATAAACTAGATAATGGTTCAAAACTTACACAGAAGAGGGGAAAACTATTAAAATTTAAAAATTTTAATTGGCTGAAGATTCATATTTTTCCGATATTTTTCAGTTATTATCATGTAGTATTAATATAATTTAAATTATATGATGGCATGCTCGAGTTATTCACATAATTTAAATTACATATTGAAGTATTACAGCTAATGCTAATTTTTAAAATATATCTACCATATATTTGAAATATATACCAAGTACAGTAGAGTCCCGATAATTCGAAGTATATGTGACTACTTGGAATTACAAAAATCTTGAAATATGGAAGAGTTGAGCTATTACAGTCATAATACAGATCATTTGGTAGAACTTTAGTGCAAGGTGTGCACTGCACGCGGGCATCATTGGCAAGGGACCCCAAAAGAAATTCCTAATTAAATGCTCGATTTTTGAATTATGAAATAATAAATTTCATAATTCAAAAATCGAGCACTTTAAGGAGCAAAGCATTACGTTGAAAAAGTAAAATTGAGAACTTCAATGGTCCACATATTTATATGGATTTATAGTATTGAGCCATTTCTCACACGATCAAGGTGTGAGAATTGCCCGAGGGACGAGTTCCTCGTCTGATGAGGAATAAACTTGTACAAACTAGTATATAAATACTATAACATTGCCAGACGTTCTTACCGTTCAAACTCAATTCAAAGAAGTTTTGATGGTAATCAAACAAGAGGATTTCAGGTTATATTTGCACTAATTCGTAAGGGGCGCAAGAAATAGGACTCGCATGCGGACGCAAGATATTCTAACAGCGGCGTTGGTATAAAATACAAAAACATTCAATATATATTAATATTAGATATATGACTTAAGAAATTTGAAATTTTCATTACATGAAAGCTATTTTTGAGGAATGAAAGAATAATTTAACGAAAACAAAGTTTTAATCAGATTGTCATTTTGATTAAATTCTTTCATTAAATTATTTCATTCATTTAATTAAATTAATCATCAGTCATCAAATCGTTTCATCAATTAAATTAATTACTTGACTAAATGATGACGATTTATCGTCATCATTTAGTCAAGTAATTAATTGATAGAAATCCTCTTATAGAGGGATCGGATCATGACAGGCTATCCAGCGGCATACTGGACGCATGGGGTCATTGCGCCCTCCCAGTTAATTTTAGAGTCAGTAAATTTGGTTATTTTTGTAAAAAAACCGCCTTTCTGTAATTAGACATTAAGATGGAATTAAATCAGCAACTAACGCATTTACGATCGCGCTGATTTACATTAAAAAAATTATGTAAGTATTATGTATATGCTTATGTATGAAAATATTCATTCAAAATATTTAATTATCTAAATAGAATGCTTTTATTTTGTAAAAAGGACATTTTTCTATATTTTTCACATTTTTTATGATATTCTGCTATTAAATATATTTACGCGATGATATATTTAAATATTTATATATTTGTAATTTAAATTTTGAAATAACTTTTTTAAGATATGCTACTTCATTATTTAAATTTTTGGTTTTTATGGCATAACTACGAACGACATACCAACTTCGAAGTTTATCAAAACTGGATGAACAGCACTTGTGTGGCCATGTGACTCAACGTGTTCTTGAAGTTTGCAACTCAAGTTCCACATGAATGAGAAAATCTGCACAAAAGCATATGGTCTAAAAATGATATTATCTTCTGATTTTATCATTTCTTTGGAAGTAGTGAAAACGATTTTATAAAAGACAAAACTTTATCGTGGCTTTGGAATCCGAAAAATTAAATGTATTAGATGATGATGATTTGTTTCAAAGTGCGCTACAATCAGTTAAATATCTGCATAATTCAGAAAATTATTGAAAGTTTGCTTCGTGAAGCAGTATTGTTCGTCAATTGGAAGCAGCAGGTTATAACAATTCATCGCAAACGATGAATTCAGATAAAATTCGTTATTGCAAATTAGCTAATGTCCTTAAGAAATTATATTTATGTTCCATATTGCCGGACAGAAATGGCAACTATCATGTAGTACCTCATAATATCTTCCTTTTTACTTCTTGTAAACCTGCCTATGCATTATTCAGTATTATAGGAAAGTCAAGTCCCTCTGCAATAGAAGCCACACGCTAGGATGACCGCAGTAGAATAGGAAATTATGAGCTTTGTGAAATCCTTCCCAACAGTTTGTACTTTTTAGCGACCGTTTTGGGGATGTTGATTGTTTAATAAAAGTTTATAACACTTATTTTCTTCCAAATAGAATACTTTATTTATACACACTAACTTTTACGGTCTTAATTTAATATCTCCTCATTATAAGCTTCTTTTGTATTTATTTTTCACTTCATGTAAAACAATTTTTGCAACACTCGTCAACTCTTTTCAGCCCATAATATTGCATTAATTATGCTAACATTAATTAAAATATGTAAGGTCTAAACATTATTATACCACGTTTTACCACAAAGATTGGGCAAACAATATTAAACTTAAACAAAACACGCTTTCCATTCGTTTTATAACTTGGAATTTTAACAAGTTTTAGATCATCTTGTTACTATAATGAACGACAATATTGATGTTTTGTTAAACAACATAAAATATATAAATATATGTGCAAAATTTCTCTCATCCACGGAACGACAAAGAATGTCACCGATCTACTGGAGGCATTAAGAGATTTCTTTTTCAGATCAAACATAAATTACTGTCAGCAGTGATCTTCCAGTTCCTCATGCAATATAGGCAGAGATAGAAATACTTTCCAAATATCCCATTCTCTTGGAAATAAAACCACGTATACTGTACTGAAAAAGAAAATTTTGCCACTTGTGAATTGTGCGAGTGACTGTCGCAAGTAACGAGCTCGTATTCAACAACATGAAGAGGATTCAAAATTACTTAAGGTCAACGATGACGGATTCAAGACTAAATACGCCTAGTGTTACTAATGCTGTTAGATATTAAAACTTCTCATTTTTTTGGATTTGTCCTTCGTTCAATTCAATAAATATTAATTATTATTAGATTTTTAAAAGGATGAAATTCGGCTATAAGCACCAATCAAAGTTCGATATTAAAATCAGCATTCCTCTCACTAATTATTAAAAAACATTAAAATTTAGAAAAAAATGTATAAATTTATAGATTTTGAAACCTTCGAATAAAAATATCCCAATTCTAATTTTGTTTAGATTGAATTAGTTATCCTAATAAATAGGGTTGTAATAAATTGGAGGGCTTATCACATCAGGGCTGACTGGAATAGACTAGAGTTTACAAAAATTACCCTTTAATAACGCCAATCAAATTTTGGTAAGAATCCATTTCGGGTACAAAGGATACAGCTTACATACATACGGTACAACACCAACATACATTAATACAAACATAACACAAGTAGTAAACCAAGACAAAAGGTTTTTTTCCCCTAATATATACAGCGAACTTAAAAGAAAATAATTGATTTTATTTTGAAATAAATTTGATTTAAAAAATGCCATTTTGTTTTATAGATTTATCCACAGTTACTGTTATTTCCAACAAATTTAATAGAATTAAAGTTATAGCAGTTTTCATGTTCAATATAGATGAATACTCAAAAGGGATATTCCATTAATTGATAATTATAAATATGATTTTATACCATTTTCAATTATTTTATACATGAAAAATATTAATTAAATACAATAATTCGATGATCTCAGCAGTGGGTTTACTACATAAAAAGTGATGAATCATGTTATTGTGTATCCGAATCCAGTATGTTTATCTCATTTCATCATTTCACAGTGTAGCTATACTTTCGTTCAACAACTGTCAACTTTTAAACATGGGAGTTAAACATCTGTTAAGTTCTCAGGCTTATTAACGACGCTTTCTCATCACCTTTCGACCTCAAATCTCCGTTTCAACAATACAACCTGAAAACAGAACAACAAAGCGGGCAGTCGTCGCCCCGTCTTCGAAGAGATCAGTCTCAAGTTCCGTATCTTTTTCCGTGTTCGTTGTGCTTTTCACTGGACCATCGAACTTATTTAAGTGCCTATTCTCTGGATTAACATCGACCCAAAATACTTGATTACCTAACTGGACTAACTTCGTTGTCAAGACCTACTAGCAACTCACTAAAACTCCAGGTATTTATCGCCACGCACAACTTATGTAAACTCTCTCTCTCGAGAACCGCGGAACGGTAACAGAAATCTTAAATCCAATTTAATGTCTATTTTATATCAAATGTAGCACAGATCTCTAAAAACTAGCCTAGTTAAAATCGATATATTTTATATTCTGTATGGCCTATAGTTACCAATTAAACCATTGTTACGTTAAAGCGTCTCTGAGTAAGTCACTTCCGGGGCGCTGTCTCTTCTTCTATCCCGACTCTGATCGCTCCGGTACGCGCCGCTTGCGTGACCTACATATCGCGGCTTTCGTGTCCGCTGAGACGCGGTGGTGTCATCCTGACAGGGCACCAAAGAGGTGCCGACCCTGCGGTCACAATTGCATGATCCAGTCAATTTTAAAAGAGACAAGAAAGATCAATTTCAATAAGATTTCAGCTAGATGTAAGAATTGTTTATACTCTTCGTATGTTTATTTATTTATTTAGATTTGAGCATGCTTTTTTAAAATTCATATTACAAAACATTTTAAAACTATATAAAATAGAATAAATAAAAATGTTTTTATTCTGGATTTATTTTATGCATGAATACAGAATAAAAATATTGTTATTATCAAAACATTTTACTACAGGGAAATTCAATGTACTGTACATAAATTCCTACCTGAAACATGAGATAAGTATTATTTCCTCGATTTTTTACGTTGATTATGCATTTAGCTTCAACTATTCTAATATTATTTTTAGATATTTCCAGGATAGATAATAATCCATCGATAGCTGCTATTTCTTCGTTGCTATCTTTTGGATAAGGCGTAACAAGACTGAATTCGATTTTAGGAACTGCTTCGACTGTTATTTCTATTCCTTCATGTAGAATAACAACTACTGATTTTTCAAACCAATCAAAATAATTTCTTCCATATTTCTGCAAAGATTACAAAATGTAAACATTTTTAAATGAGAAAAACAGAATGCAAATCTCTTATATTATTTGAATTTACCTCTGATTCGTCTAACAACATAAATCGTTCGTAATCTCTGTCAAAATTCTGATATACAACGCACAGATCGTTTATAAATGCAACATTATTTGGAACAACATAATTCTGATCGTAATAAATGTCCAATCTGTTGAATTTACTGCTTTGCAATGAAATTAGGAGAGTCTAGAAAAATTAATTTACTTATAAAACAATTATTTAAATCAAGTTATATAATTGTTAATATCCCATCATTTACACGTTCAATGAAACGTTTACGGGAGAGAACGTACAAAATTATTTTAACACATTATCTAAGAAAGAACTATTTAATGCTTAATTTCTATTTTTAATAATAAATTTTACAATAAAAATCTAAAAATATACTAAACATAATGATTTATTTTATAAATTGATTACATTATTATAAATAACATTGCTAACATAAATGAATTTTATATATTCTATTTTAATATTTCATTTCGATTTTTTTATTTATGAATGTTTCAGAAGAAATTTGTAATTAAAAATAAAAAAAATTATCAAAACTGAAATGCCAAGAGATATAATTTTGTTACATATCAAATTTAAAAATTTGAGCTTTATTAAATTATTAATACAAGTTTAAAGAAAATAATTAAAAATAAAAGAAAAATGTTTTAAAAAGTAATTTTTAAAAATTATATTTAAATTAAAAATAAACCAAGTTATGCCATATATAAATTCTTTATTTATACAGTTACTTTAAAACAAATGTACATTTTAAATTGAATTTATATTATATGAATAAATAAATAATGTATATCTTATTTTACCTTCACGGTTCCTTGAGTTTCTTCCGAATTTTCAAAATAAATATAGAAGGTGTCGAAAGTTTTTGTTTCTTTTGCCTGTTTTCTAATAAATATAATAAAAGAATTTAAGAATAGTAATTTATACTTTAGTTTTCGATAAAAGTTTAAAAAAATACTTTTTAATAATAATAAAAAGTGAAACATTTTATGCTTAATTTAATTTAAAAAGACGATAAATCATAATTAAAAATTAAGAAATTAAAATCATCATTATCATGATTTAGTTATGATAAATTAAACGATAAATTAGTGTTAAAATATAAATAAATTAGGGGTCGCGTCTTATAAATTTTGTTCAAGCATTTCGTGAAGATTCGTCGATTCCCGATGCTACTGTTTTAATCTCCCCCACGACAGAAAAAGTGAAGTAACGATTTTAAGCTAAGTGATATTTTATATATAGTAAGTATTTTATATAGAGTAGATAAGTTAGGCCTATACATTTATTTATCAATATCAAATTATGTAACGAAAGTAGAGTAGGCTGCAATGAAAACCGTTAATTATTAAATAATTAAAAATATTCAAGAGTTATAAAATTAATTTAAATTTTTTTCTAAATGTAGATAAGAAATTCTACTTCTCTAATAGAGAATATAGTAATTTTTATTCAAAAGATTTCTCTCTCAAAAACAAAGAGTTCCATTGAAATTAAATAAAGTAAAAGTCATGTAGTAGTTTTAAAAATATCTTTTAAATACTAAATATCAGATAACTAAGACTTGTACACAGTTGATTATTAAATATGTATCGTCTGTATAGCAATTGAACAATGACGATCTTAACATGAAAGTTCTTAGATGTGCATTGATACGCAAACTTATTATTTACAATATTAAAATTACAAAGTAGAGTAGATAAAGTTATAAAAGGAGAAATACATTACCGTATATTAATAAATCGTATAAAGAAAAGAAAACAAAGCATGTTTTCAAATCAATTAGAAACAATAAAAAAAAAATTCTTGAATTGATTGCAGAAGTATAAAATTTAAAGAAATAGTACTGTACGTCAAAATTCTATTAGAATAATTGTAAGAAAAAGTTATTAACATAAACATGTTTCAAGAAGAACGGCCTATGCCGCTGGAAAAAAAAAAGAATATTTAACCTTCATTGTTTGGATTCGACACAAAAACATATTTTGTTTTTCTAAATTCTAAATTGTAAAAATTTTGATTTATTAAAATCTTTATTACTAAATTAAACACGAACGTTTTATTATTTCTACGGTAATTGATACAGTATATAGCCCCTTTCTGACAACACGTCTGTGATGTTTGTTAATGTTTTGTATTTTTTATAATTATAATATTTTCCGCACGCACACACTCCACTCTTATTTAAACAATTTTCTTCTTCTACGATTAGTTTAGGAGCATTTATTTTTAGATCTTTATTTTTTAATGAATATGTGTTTCATCTTGTGTATTTAACATTTATTTTGAGCGGCTTGTTCTTATTTCCTTATTTATACCCTTTATTAGTTCTGCTCCAGTTTGCAATTTTACAATTTTTCAAGATCGTGTTAATGAATAACAAGTTTATGCGTGTCAATAGATGTCTCGCATTACATGAGATCGACATAGTTTTATTTCTATATAAAACATAGACTATATTTATTCAATAATTAACTTTACACAGGAACTGTTCGTTAGATATTTGTTATTAAAATAAAAATATAAAACGAATAATCAGAGGATTGTCGTATAATTTGATCTATATAACAATTTTTGTCTTTTTGGAAGAAAATTAAACTATTAAATAAAAACATTTTTTAACTAAAGCTGTAGTGAAAAATACATCATCGTATACTTATACTTTTTCTCGCATAGTGTGTACGCAATAGCGTAACTACATATGAGCGAGCATCTGTGCAATATTTTCAAAATGGTCCCCACTTCACTTTCTGTAATTTTTTTCGTGACACAGCTTAATACTGTATACATAAAATTATAAAGGAATAAATAATTTATTTATTTTAAAAGTAGTACATTAGTACATTATAGGTCTACGTATTTTTTCTCTTCGGTCATTGAACACAAAATATCCTGAAACCTGAATACTGTATACCGAAAATATCCGATACTACGGCAAAATGATATTTTCGAATCCCGCATGTGACAATATTGGTGAAAATCTTACTTTCGATAACAACATTTTAACTATAACCCTTACGCGTTTTAACAAAAAAATATTATGATATATTAATCATATTTTATTTTCACGCTTCAAACATCTTATAAAGAGAAGCATTTCCCATTAAATAATTAAAAAGTAATATATAAATTACTAGAAAACGATTTTCGTAATTAAAATAAAAATAAATGTACCTTTTACAAAAATATAATGTTTGTATTTACTGTAAAGAACAGTGAAGAAATAAATAAGAAATTCAAATTCGTGCAAAGTTCATATCCCCTTACTCCTCCTATTATTATTTTGATCATGTGGAGATTGCTACAGTGTGAAGTAAGCTGTACTGTACAGTACATAATCGTCTTTTACTATCAACAACTAGTAAAAATGCGTATTTTTTTCTGTTGAGTTCTTGAGCTGCAAATTAACGCAGTTCTTTCCCTTCCGTTCATAACTTTGACTAATCGCGCACCGTCACAGGAATAATACTCGTATTTAACAAAACAATTACGGTGGCAATGGAAGAGGTCGAGGGTCTTTGTAAAATTACACAAATTGCACAAATGGTAGTTACGCTACTGTGTAGGGGAGACCGGGGCAAGATCGGCATGTTAAACTTTACTTAAATTTTGTGTAATAAATACTGCCGTAAACTGAAAAAAAGCTATGCATATTGTCTATTGGAATGTTTTCTTACTATAGAACTGGTTAAAATCAGCTTGGAAATAAAAATAATTAAAATAATTACAACTTTACAAGAAGAGAGAAGTTGCCGAAGTTGCCCCGGGTATAGGGGCAACTTCGACAACTTCTCTCTTTTTGTAAAGTTGTAATTATTTTAATTATTTTTATTAAAGTTGCCCCTGGTATAGGGGCAACAGTAATGGGGCAAGATAGGCACGTATATAAAATTATGTTATTAACAATGTATAAGTTGGAATTCACTATTAAAACAAAGAAATACAAATCCAACACCCATTTAATATTATTACAACGAAATGCAAGTTCAAAGACATATATACATGAATAACAAATGCAAACATGTTTTCATTTATCATCTGTTTGATTTTTATCCTTTGCTTCTAATGTGGCTTTATGTTGCCGATCTTACCCCGCTAGTCATGATTTCGAAACATTAAGTACAACCCTGAGAACAGAATGCCAAGCCACGATCTGGCCACGTGAATAAGTTGAAGTTACATCCTTCTAACAGGAAAAGTAACTTTCGTTATCATGGAATTATAACAAAACCTGCCAATTCAATATAAATGGAAAAAAAATATTATATGGAATTGAACGAAAATGAAAATTTGCTTGATAATTCAACTACGCTTGTTGGAGAACAATAAAAACACTACACTCAACAAGCCACCAATAAAACTCAACTGCCTAACCTATAACCAAAGTCTCCTTTTAATTTGTTTTTAAAAAAAAGCGCTTGACAAACTTGCCCCGCATGCCGAAGTTGCCCCGGTCTCCCCTATACCTAAAACTAAACAATTTTAAAAGGATAAAATATATGATAACAATTCTAAAATTATTTCTTTTATTTAAAATAATCAAACTTTCACAGGTAATTGCTCATTTTCTTCTTTTTAATATGAATTTTAAATTTGGAAGAAGAAAAATAAAGAAAAAAGTATAGCGTCTGATGACTACAATTACAGCATTGATTAAAAAATCCATATGAAATGTATTTGAAATCAGAAAAATAAATTTATTGTCCATATGTAAAAGTAATTTATTCTTTCTTACAAATTTTGAACTTTTGTTTTTTATTAAATTATTTATTAATAGACGACTTTTGTTGTGAAACCTTATACTTTAGATTAAATTAATTCCATTTTATAAAATTAAATATATCATATAATGATAGTACATCAGAGTTGAATGTTTGTGGTTTTTTTTTTTAAATCAGAAAGACCTTCAGTCTCATAAAGAACTATTTATAGCCTACTAAATGTAAAAGGGTAGACAGTTGGATGGCCGAGTGGTCGAGGTGGCAGTCTACTGCTCTGGGTGACTCGGAATCGAACCAGACGGGTCGAAAAATCCCCAGGAATTTTTCGGGGGGTCCGTTTGGATATGTCGGGCCACCCAGTCGCCTCATTGTGAACCTGGCTGAACCTATAATGGTCTTGCTAAAAATTTATACGTGTATGCTAAGATACATTCCTGTAAAAAAAAAAACAAAAAAACGTATTTTTTAGTTTATAAGCTGTAGCAAAAATGAAAATTATCACTATTTTAAAAATATTATTTCTGCATCTACTGTATAAGTAATTTTTTTGTATTTCAAAAATATTGCACGAGATCTTGCGTAAAAATAAATTAACTTATATAATCCCGCATGTGACAATATTGGTGAAAATCTTACTTTCGATAACAACATTTTAACTATAACCCTTACGCGTTTTAACAAAAAAATATTATGATATATTAATCATATTTTATTTTCACGCTTCAAACATCTTATAAAGAGAAGCATTTCCCATTAAATAATTAAAAAGTAATATATAAATTACTAGAAAACGATTTTCGTAATTAAAATAAAAATAAATGTACCTTTTACAAAAATATAATGTTTGTATTTACTGTAAAGAACAGTGAAGAAATAAATAAGAAATTCAAATTCGTGCAAAGTTCATATCCCCTTACTCCTCCTATTATTATTTTGATCATGTGGAGATTGCTACAGTGTGAAGTAAGCTGTACTGTACAGTACATAATCGTCTTTTACTATCAACAACTAGTAAAAATGCGTATTTTTTTCTGTTGAGTTCTTGAGCTGCAAATTAACGCAGTTCTTTCCCTTCCGTTCATAACTTTGACTAATCGCGCACCGTCACAGGAATAATACTCGTATTTAACAAAACAATTACGGTGGCAATGGAAGAGGTCGAGGGTCTTTGTAAAATTACACAAATTGCACAAATGGTAGTTACGCTACTGTGTAGGGGAGACCGGGGCAAGATCGGCATGTTAAACTTTACTTAAATTTTGTGTAATAAATACTGCCGTAAACTGAAAAAAAAGCTATGCATATTGTCTATTGGAATGTTTTCTTACTATAGAACTGGTTAAAATCAGCTTGGAAATAAAAATAATTAAAATAATTACAACTTTACAAGAAGAGAGAA